TTTTCCCTGTTGAACTTGCCCACTGAGTCTATCAGCGAGGTTTGGGAATGTATTATTCACGGGGGGGGAAAAAAGTAAGACATAAGTAGTATATCGTACTAGTGTATCCTCAGAGGATTACAATTTCCCTTTAATGCCAGCTGGCTACATTACAATAACTAAATCAATGAAATACACTGGCCATTGTAAATGCACGCTGTGCTGCGCTCCTGCCAGTGCCCTTGGCTGACCAGCCACCTCCAGCCAGTACACCAAGGAGGGAGCCAGCAGGACAAGCCAGCAGCCAAAGTGCCTTCTGGGCTGCTTGAGTGGAGTCTGTCATTGTTGCAGTGAGTGCTGCTGGTGCCTTGGCAAGCTGGGTCTAGGCAAGCTGGGAGTGGATATGCCCCATGGACAGTAGTATCCAGCTGTCTGGGAAATCACATGTGTCAGAAAGTTGTCTGGATGCTATTAAAATGAGGAAATTATTTTATTAGCTGTCATATTTTTATTTCTAGGTTTGTCTTATTCACTATTCTTTTGTCATGTCACCTTTACTAAAAAAAAAAAAAAATCCAGATGAGAAGCAGCATGTTGGAACAACCACACAAAAGTGCTTTACTATCATCTTATTTGAAAGATCTACAAAATGCTCCAGGTTACTCCGTTAGGCAACATTATTCTAACAAGGTGTGGCCAGCATTTTTATAATGTATGAAGCATTTTCTTCCAAATTTACATGCTCCCTCTATTTATAGTCCATATGTTGTGTATATTACAAAGTAGTGTGATAAAAACTCAGGAAATTTTCTGAGACTTGTGTGTTGGTTCTGGGTTTAGTTTTCTTTCCTGTCCCCTGCCCCCCTCCCGGGCCCATCTAATTGGGCAGTCAAAGACACAACTAGATACCCATATCCAATGCATATTCAGACTCATCTGCAGCTTTAGATGTACAAATACATTTTCAAATCTAGTTCCAACACTTTACATGCCTTATAATGCATTACAGATGTTTACATGCCTTAAATCTATTTGGATTGCTTTATTACTCAGAGGAAAAAATACTGGAAATTAGCACTTTCCTACTGACAATTGGGAAAAAAAAAAATTACAATTCTTTTACATTCTCAGAAGCTACCTCTACTGCAGGTGAAAATACACCACACAGACAGGATATGGCTTGGCAGTGGAGTGAGGTCTAGGTTTCAGCAAGGAAAATCTCTGGAATTTTAACTCTGAGCAGGCATCTCATAATGTCCCTGCTAGAGAAGCACTTCATTGACTTACATGCATATTTCAGTGCTTTTTCTAAATCAGAATTCCCTCAAAGGGCTATATGCTGAGCTATATTTCACTATTAAGTTTAGAGAAAGACCCAAATCATAAATAAAGGCAAAATCCATTCCTGATGTGAACTGGGGTTATGCTGGAGACGAATTTGACACAACTGACCTGTTTGGTTTTTCTGTCTTAAGGAAAGAAAAAGCAGAGACTTGAGGAGCACTCCTTTATCAATGTGCAGCAGCAGCAGAGCTTGCAAATACCGTTGCTCGAGTCTCGCAATCTTTGACCCAGAACTTATTCTAGAAACCTCTTCCTCCCTCCCCCTCATCAACTGCAACACAAGTTTTGCTTGAGGAAGGAGCAAGACCCAGAAGAGCTGCTCTCTCCCTTGTGTTGCAATATCCAATCTGAGTGTTACTATCAGCTTTTGGAAACTGACTGTACAGAAAACACAGATGATGTTTGCATATTTTAATTTTAAACATCTCTGCTCGGCATAAGGATGGAACCTAATAAGTTGCTTTGTTTCTGCCTCATGAATTAATTCAGCCTGCTAACTGATTTGGATAAAGCATTTCGATTCCAACTAATAAAATTGTTTTCTGGGCAGGCAAAACGACTTTTGGAAAAAAAGTAACAAGTTCACCAGCTTGCCAGGAGAAGTACTCTTATAATATCTATAAGGAATAAACTTTTTCCTTTTTTAACCCACTTGTTCCACCCGTGTCTTTTAAATCAATCAGATAAATTCACCTTGTTTTTCAATGCCCTGAATCCTGATAGCTCTGCACACTTGATAGGTAATTTAATCATCGTTGGTGTGGATGAACACAAGCTCAAATTAGCTTCTGAAAGGCTTAGTCGTCCTGTAGATAGCTCTGCCTTTCCACTTTTATGCAGGAACTGAGCTTCACCAACTGGTTAGCTAGAGGTGTCATTAAAAATTTACAGAAAGAAACAAAGGTGTGCTCCAGTGTCTCTCCTTACCTTTTCTACTGTTACTCTGGCAGACAAAAGGTATGGAACCTGCTTCATGAATAATGAGTCATGTAATATGTATAATGCATTTTTAATGGCACGCAGTAATAACATTGAGAGAGATATTTCCAATCTTCAGACTTGCACCACGGCCTCTCAGTAGCCTGTTCTGATTCTCCCCAAACAGATCTTTTCCTCCTCTTCATTTCAAATTCCCCACCCTAAAGCCATGAGTTTTTCCCAGAAGGAGCCACACTTCACCCAGAGCGGCAGCTGAGCTGGTGCTCAGCGCAAGGTGCACGCGGGGCTGGTGGGGCAGGGAGCACCCAGCCACGCGCGGCGTTTCAGAGGGGCTCAGGCTGAGCAGCGGCCCAGGGCCCGTGCCCTGAAGCACACCATTTGCAGGACACTCTGGGGAAAACACAACTAAACGAATAAAAGCTGTTGAAGAACAGTCCCGTCACCTGGGCTGTGTCTGTGCTGCGAGGCCCTCCTGGCAGCCCAACCCCAGCCAGCAGGACAGCACTCGGCCCAAACCACGCGGGTTGTCCTGTTTGCAAACGAGACGCTGCGAGGCGCAGGCACACACTGCTATGGCAGTTTTAACAGTCAATGCTGGTAATGGCGCCCACTCGGGCACTGCTGGAGCAAGGCCTGCCTGTGGGGAAGGAGGCTGTGCCTGGCAGGAAAACACCCTCCTGTCCACGCCTGGCACCCCCAGACGGCCCTCAGCCACCCACAACAGCAGCTTCCCTGTAAAATAAGTATGAAACACCACCCCAAGGGCAGTCCCAAGCCTACCTGTGCCACCTGCTGAGCTGCTCCTCTGAGCCTCCCCTGGTCCAGGCAGGACCCGAGGCATCACCAGGCCTTCCCCATCGCCACTGAGTCTCCCACACTAATCTTCTGTATTAATTAACCGAGCACAATGGGCCTAATGTGGTCTTCAGAGCACCTGGCAGCTCCTGTGGTGCCTGTGCTACAGCCTCCCACCCTGACCACTGTGATTCTGTTGAATAAAAGCCCTGCCTGTGAAGCCTTGGTGTGGGCAACCCTGTGTGGAAGAGTGGACCCTTGCCTGAGAAGCATGTCCTGGGTTAGCCCTGCACAGATACACTTCAGCCACAGCCTGTGAGGGCAACCCTGTGAGGAAGGGGCTGTGGCTGAAGTTCTCAGAAGTGCCAGAAAGCAGAAGCACAAAGGGACCTTGGCAGCACCATGGCAGATGGAGTGCCATGGCCCTCCGGTGGGCAGGGTGTCCCAAGGGCTGGGCCAGCCCAGTGGGGCAGAGAGGGCATCTGCTCGCTGCTTTTATCCAGAATAAAAGTACAAAAGAAACTGGAAACAAGATAATATATCCATGTAGGTACACAAGGTTATGTGCACATGCAAAAGCCCAGGCTGCTGTGCTGTGAAAAGGACAAGGGACCCCTCCATCATCCTCCTGCTTCTCTTTTGCATGGGCTGCCACTGCCAGATGGAGCAAGCCCTGCTGGCAGGCAGGAAAAAGGCAATTCTGTGAGTCCCAACAGGCTTAAGTATAAATGATGCACCTGCTGCTCAGGTGTCTCTACAAATGCCTGGGCAGAGACATTTAATCTTGTGGGAGGACATTCAAGTTTTTCCTGAGCTGAGCAGGGTCTTCTGGCAGTCTACACTGCCACAGCAGACACTTAAAACTGCTGTTTCCCCTCTAAACCCTTTCTTGGTGACAGTCCAAAGCACAGCATACCCCAGCCTTCAAAAGTGTGAAGTGTTCAACTGAAATCAGTGGCAGTTGAACAAATAAATATGACAGCAGCATTCTTTAATCACCAGAGCCTTTGTGCAAATTCTGCTGTGCCTACACTCCCTCTTCAAATGCCATATCCCTGACCATCACTGTGGTGTATCACTGTGATGGCTGAAGTTACATATTCAATAAAAATCACACTCTGGACCATCCTCAATACTTTATTAACTTAAAACATTGTTCCAATAAATATGTACCAATAAACATAAGACACTCCATAAAATCTAAATAAGGACATTTACAAACCTGTCAACAAAGTAGAAACAGCATTTTTTTAACCGAGGTACATGCAGGGTCATTTAAGGCAAATTCAGTCAATTATACTTTTATAATGATTCCTGCCCACCTCAGCTGAGTTTCCCTTTAAAAATTAAAAAAACAAAACCAAATATACAAATGATGCTATTGAGTAGCTATTTTCCAGTTATTAGAACAAGGCCAGAGTGCAGAAGCCAGTAATGGTTCTGGACAGAAAGTCTGTGCCTCCCTGGTGCTCCTGCCTTTCTCGGTCAGGATCACTTGTTGGATGGGTGTCTAGTTATAAGGCGTAATCTATGCTTTGGCTTTTCCACTTGTCTTTCACAAGCTTCCTTCTGCCCAGTGGATGTAGCAAGAAGAAATCCCCCCCCGGTCTCAGGTACACAGGCACACAGCCAGGCCTCGCACAGAGGGAGAGACAGTTCTGGGAGGATAAAAGGGCCTCTCTATAACTGTTAATGCAGCTCTTGATTTGCACCAGAACAAGTGAGAGCAGGATCAGGCCCAGGCTGGTACCTTTGCTTAAAAACCAGTGAGCTGTCAAACTGCACAGTTAAGTCCTCATCCTCCAGGTTATCCTGACAGAAAACCAAGAGTGAAGCCGTTCAGCACTGAAACTCAACCAAGGCAAGCGCTCCCTACACCGCATGCTGAGGGCTCTCTGCCATTACCATGTAAACACTGTTATACCCAAGTTTCCCTGCAAGATGATTGAAGCTACTGAAAATTTCAGGGGGTTCATCTTGGCCATGGGAGAAATATTTTCCAGCTTACAGATATTTGGTAGCTTATCCAACTTTGAAGTATCAGGCTTCATATCTAAAATGCTTATTTTCCAGTGTTATTTCAGAAACAGAGAAAGGGAGAGAAAGAGAGAAACCCCAGCCTTTAATTTCTGCTTTCACAGTCATTCAGGTTGAGCTGTCAATGCATGGCCCTGTCCTCTTCTTTCCTCTCCAAGCTCCTCGTCAGAAAGGTAATGCCAGGGTTTGTGCTCAGGACAGGGCTCGGGTCCAGTGGGGAAGCCAAGAGAGTCTGTTCTTATAGTGTTGTAGGTGTTTTCTGTATTGCAGCTGTGACTCATTTCAGGCCGTGCTGTGTCTCCCGGTGTCTCCGTAAATCCACCTTTCGTTGGAAGCCTTTGCCACACAGATCGCAGCCAAAGGGCTTGAAGCCTGTGTGCTTCCGACTGTGGGTGATGAGGTTGGAGCTCTGACTAAAGGCTTTTCCACACACCTGGCACTTGTGAGGCTTCTCACCTGCAAGCAGAAGGCGAGAGAGAGGGTGTGAAAGAGGCAACATGCTGCTTACGCACAACCAGAGAAAACAGGAAATGCACACTGGGCCTTAGAGCTAATCAAAGGGATTCCTGTGTGATTAACAAATAAGTTGTTCTTATTAAAAACATACAATTGGGAGCCCCAAAGCATTAGCTGAGCCTCCACTGCAGCTGAGCAGGCCTGGATGTGGCTGCACCTCCATCAGCCCAGTAGTCCTGAAGCACAGAGTGCTCCCAGGACACCATAACTTGTGCATACATTTGGCTGCAAGGGCTCTGTGTGATTTAAACTGGCTTTGTGTCCTAGAAACATCAGGAACTCCTAGAAAGGCCTTCAGGTTTTGCTGAATGCCTGACATCCATTGTTACAACATCAGCATGGGGGCAGGTGGAATAGATAGATGGAATTTATTAAGACAAATCCAGTGAGCTGGGGTCTGTCCTCAAGGGAGGTATGAGGGCCCTTAAGTGAACCCTGAAGGGCAGGGTTCATCCAGACATCTGCTCTTCTCTCTGTTCACCACATCACTAGCAGTCAGCCCAAGCCAGCCCTGAAGCTCTCCTGTAGGCAGATAACATAAACGGGAATAAATCCAGCCTCTGGAACCTCTCCTATGGAGAGGCCAGTGGCAAAACTCCACTGGCCTCCATGGGAGCAGGATCTCAGCACATTTTCATAGTGTTTATTATCAAATAACGGATAAAGGGGAACCTAACCACAAAACCAAGCCTGATTTTCAGAGTGGCTTTGCACCTGCAGAGCCCACTGACTTCAGCTGGAGCAACAAACTCTTTGCACATTTGAAGATCAGATTCTTAGAAACATAAAATAATACAAAATGTGCTGGCGGCTCAGTTCACAAGTGTATGCTGCATATGACAGTGATCCCTGATTCAGTTAAGGACCTGAGTTTATATTAGCAATTTAAAAGCCCAGGCACAGTTTCTGATCTCAAAACAAGTTAATCTTTTTGAGTGATTCAGAATTTGGCTGAAATTCCAATTAATCAAAACTCATTTGAAAAAGTTACTATGGAAATACTTTTTGTGTTACTGCCTAAATAGATCATTTTCATCCAGCAAACATCTGGTGGAAAATCTTTATAAGTAATATTTATTATTTGTCATCTAGAAAAGTCACAATGAAGCAGCGCTACATATAGTGCCATCTTTCTATGTATTTGTCATTTTTAGGCTTCACCTTTGATATCAGCTAGTGGTGTCTACCAGGAAACAGGATTTTGTTCATCTGAACCTTGCGTTTGGCCAGTACAGCTGTTATTTTGTGTCTACAAATGCTTCTGTATCTCACACGTCATTCATTTTCCTCTACTTTAAGTGAATGGTTAAGGTCTGAAAGGCAAGATTTTCTTTTAAAAAGATTTCTAATAAACCTGCCTTCTCACTGAATGATATTTTTAAAACAATTTCCTTCAGTGATTCACCTGCACGCACTTTATTAGTTTCCATGTTTATTACTAACAGTGAAACTTGAGAACTCTGCACCTCTCCTTCCATTCTGTATCAAACTGCAGCCATTTGTCAGAAAATCCAGGTGGAAGCGCAGACAATCTCTGAACAAATATTTAGACTAAAAATTGGACCCTAGGCCCTCCAGTTTAGTGTTTGGTCTAGAGGAGGAGACTCCAGTTATTCCTATTGTAAATTGGTAGATCCTGCAAAAAGAAATGCTGCAATCAAATTCACCTGACGTTTTCCAGGGATTTCAGCTGTAAATCAAGGCTACACAAATATAATACTGTACAAATCATCTTACACAAAAACCCCTTGAATAAACATTGGTGGATCCTGTTAAGGGAACACTGATTGGATCATGAGGATTTGGGTTATTTTGCAGCTGCTGTTCATGAAACCACATTCAAATCACCCTCCTTTGCACCCTGAGTAGAGCTCAGAGAGCACGAACAGCAGCAAGGCAGTGAGAAGGATGGGGAGGCGCATGTCCTGTCCCAGCTGAGGAGGAACAGACTGCTGCAGAGAGACCTCTTCAGAGACCTCCCCCTACAGCTGGGGCTGAACACCAGCAGCTGCGGGGCTGACCTGTGTGAATGAAGGTGTGTTTCTTCATATCAGATTTCTGATGGAACCGCTTCCCACAGTACTGGCACGGATAGGGCCGGGTGTCCGAGTGGATGAGCAGGTGGGTGGACAGAGTAGAAGATCTCTTAAAACTCTTGCCACAAATCTTACAATCAAAGCTGCGTTCCTGCAGAGAGAGGATCCCAAACACACACACGTTACACCACACCAGCTATCCCACCAACAAACTGCCCGGCAGCACATCAGTGTTGCCCCTTCTGCCTTAGCAACCACTTCCACTTCTCCAGAGAGCTGGACTAGCCAGCAGAGATGCTAATGTTGGCATGATAGCACCACACAATAAAAAAGATAATGCACCTTCTCACAGTGCTGTGCACTGCTCCTCACAAAAACTTAATTCAACAGCTCTTCCTGCTGGCAAGAATGGCCAGGCAGGAGCAGCCCCAACCGAACCAGCAGAGTCTGCCTGCACATTTCAACAGGGGCCCAAAACATGATCACTTCACTTGGAAGCCCAAGAGCTGCAGCACTGTTCAGATGCCACCTCTCCACTGTACACAGGAAAGTGGGTGCAGAGGTGTGCTTGGCCCTCCTGGGAAATCTCTGTGACAGGCTGGCTTCTGCTGGCAGGGTAACAACTAACTGCTTATTTGTAGTTCCATTATAATTCAAGTGAAAGGTATCTAGAGCACTTGGAGGAAAAAACCCTTTTTGGCTTACTACTTTAACATATCAGAATAAATGCATTAAGACCTTGTTGTGTCTCTCCTCTCCCCTACACAGTCCTCTCCACCACTTTCTTCCACCATAAATAATCTCTTCTTTCCATCCCTTAACTACCATCACACCTTCCTCTTCCTGCTATGCTTTTGTACAACCACCTTAGTTTATTTGGCTTTTAATGCACTCTTCCTGAAATGTTGTCCCCTTCATGGACACAATATGCAGTGTTGCTCTTTTCAGTATTATTTGATGGGTGATGAGATATTTCCCCAACTTGTGTGCTCTGCTGTTGCACACTCATGAAATTGTAAATAAAACAGTTATCAAAAAAACACTGCTGTAAATCTATACTCCAAAAGCCAATCTGAAGAAGGCAGATTTGCCAGGTCAAGTGGGTGGGTGAAGGGGAAATATGGCACAATATCAGCAGGTGGAAAATGTTACAAGTCCTCCTACCAAAATTAACTAGCAATTCTTTTGGTGTGTGACTCAGAGTGTGTCGAGACGGTGAAGTCTGTGCTCTATACCTGACTAGTCGTTCAGATGTTCCTTCCACAGACACAATGACTACAAACAAGGGAAGACTCATTTCTTTCGGGGGAGGGGAGGAGAAAGAATGAGGAGAGCTGCATTGTTGAAAGAAAGCACAGTGAGTTGCTTAGCTGTTTAAAAAGTCCACATCCCCATTACAATTTCCAGCTCCAGGAGTGAAAATTTATTATTTATTATCTGTTACTTCTGGAGTGCCAAAAGTGTTCATTGCTTAATACAGACACACACAAAGTCTGGGGAATGGAAGCAAAGCCTGTTCTTCAATTTGTTGATTTGCTCTTTTGCTCACTAGCTGCCCACCCTTTCCTCTGCCTGCCACCACATTCTTCATTCACAACGGCCCACTGCAGCGCTACCAAGTTCTCTTCCTCTCCTCAGTGTAGATGCCCACCCACTGCCCTGTGATTGCCTTCATGGCCTCCCTAGCACCAGCCAAAGCAAGCAGCTGGCGCTGGCCCCCAGGCCTTCGTGCTGGCAGTCTGCCCCGCTCTCACCTGTGAGTGCACGGCCTTGTGCTGCTCCAGGCTGACTGCATGGCCGAAGGTCTTGCCACACATGTCACAGGCAAAGGGCCTCGTGCCACTGTGTGAGCGGCGCACATGTACCTCAAGGCCGTGCGGTGTGGAGAAGACCTGAGGGGAGAGAGCACACAGGGTCAGGTTGGCCAGGGAGAAGGGGCTGAGGAAGAGTCATAACCAGTGTGGGAGAAAGGGATCCCTACCTTGCTGCACTTGACACACTTATAAGAGCCCGTGCTGATGAGCAATGGGCGGCACAAGAGGTCCGACTCCACTTTGATGCCACCCGGCCCCTTCTCTTGCTGCAGCCCAGGCTGCGCCTCACCATAGAGTCCGGGTGCTGCTGCCGGCGGCCGCTCAAACAGCCCCGGGCCCGGGGAACCAAAGTCACCATAAAGTCCAAGGGAAGAGCTACACTCTGCACCGTAGAGGGCAGGCTCGGAGCCTCGCTCGCAGAAGAGACCCAGAGCTGAGGTTCGCTCCAGCGTCGGGCAAGGCCTGTAGCTTTGCACAAGGTGCCTCAGCTCAGAGCCACCCAGGCTGTTCCACATGTACGGTTTGAAGGGCACCGAGAAGGGAGGTGCTTCATCCAGGGACGGACACACAGACCGCTCCGAGGCTGCGGGAATACAAGAGCATGGGAATTAGTGCACTTCACAGTCCAGTCGCTATCATGGGGCAGAACCATCTCAGCACTCAGACTTGTGCCCAGAGCCAGTCCCCTGTACTGCACATTAAGGCTGCCCTTTCACCTCTAATGGGAGGCCATTTTATATTGCACAGTAGGGTCAGTGCATCCAGTACTACCTACTCACCTGCTGCCCTAGCCAAATTATTTAAAGCAACCACCAATTTAGTCTACTTCCACCTCTGGGAGCCCTGATCTGACACACACTGATCTGACTGTTAAGACACTGAACGACTCGGTCTGCAACTTTCTTTGGTTTTATCTGCAGCTCCTCAAAAAAGTGTATCTACTATGTCCCAAGAGATGCATCAAAGCTGACAGTCCAAATGTTCTAATGGTAAGCTCTGAGGTAGATCTCACCCATCCGTATAGCAAATACAACATCACGGAGGTGCCAGAAATAGCAAGAGTGCTGAGATTTACCTGTTCAACAAAACTAAAAAATGCTTGTTGTACAATTTAATGCCCAAATCTAGTCTCTCGACTTCATGCCACAACCGTCTGTAACTATACAACAGCATAACTGAAATAAAGAACAGCTTCTGAGGTGCTTGAATGTCATGCCTTGCTTTTTCAGAAAACAAACTAAAATCGTCTGCATCTGAAATAAAATCATGGTTGTTTCAGATTGCTCTGAGTTTCTCCAAGTAAAGAAACTGAGTTCACCCAAAACATTGAGCTTCACAAAATCATCAGTATAAGCCGCATTAAAAATGTAAGACACAAAAAGATTTCCCTAGCAGTCATAATCAAAGCGATCTTCCACCAGGACAAACTTGGACGACTTCAGTTGGCTCTAACAAGATCACCTTTGGCAATGGCATTTGACCAAGGCATCACAACAGGCAGCAGCACTGGGAGAGTCAAATGTCTCCTGAACCAAGGAAAAAGTGAATCAATTAACTGCTGAAGTGCCAATGCCTTCACAGAGATATCAGCATCTCTTACAAGTTGGGCTTCCAGAATAACCTCCCTTACCCAAGAACTTTCCCACCCACAATTGCTCTCTTGCTTTTTGTCACCCTGTCAGCTCCACAGCTCCCATGGCTTTCTCAGCCTTCAGCAAAACCGAGATAATGAGGGGTGAGCTAGGGAAGGAAGGCATGATGTGTTAAGGTATCCACTTGGATAGGCAGATGGTCACTGAATGTTACAGAAAGGAGTCAGAATTGAGATGGAAATTGAGCTTTGAATGACTGTTTCCTATCTTTTACGTAATTTCAGATGTTAACTGTCTCAAATTCTTCCATTGAAATTAGCAGTTATTTTGGTTGGAAATATATGCGCACACACCAACTGGGACACTTGAACAGAGCAAAGAAATCAAATTAGCTGACATGGTGCTGAGCATGATTTTTCCTGTTCTGCACTGACTGCAAAGTTGCGGTCAGCGTCACATCATCTATCTTGTGTCTTTGCAACCAGTTTCAGTGTTGCCCTCTCTCACGATTTTATCACAAGATTCAAAAATATCTTAAAGCCCCAGCTCCTGAAACTGCATGATTTCATCAGGTCCTCAGCTTTCCTTTTGTTTGCTTGTTCTTTTTTTAACTTTTTTTTTTTTTTTTTCACCTTAAGGTCAACTTCTAGCCCAGACCATAAAGAAAAGCATGAAAAAGTAAACTGTCAATATTTCAACACTAGAACTGAATATCCATAAGGTATTACTTACAATCTTGATTTCTAAGCCAGTCCATTGAGTGAGAGGAGACGGAAAGCTGACCTGATTTTTGAGCCCTTGGAACTGGCAACACAGGACATGGTAAACATTGCACCACAGATCAGTTTGCGTTCAATGTTCCTTCCATAGCCTCACATGCTTTGGATACCTCTCAAGCACAAGTGCAGAGGAGATACTTACACTATACTTCCCAGGGGCAAGCCCAAGCCATCCAAGACCTGTACCAAGTGTCAAGGCAACCTGCAAACCCTGCTCTGCCACACTGCAGGGCACTTCTGTGTCTGCCTCTCCTCCACTCCACAGCATCTGGGCCTCCAAGGAGGGAGCAAGGAGGGAGAGACAGATTCTCCCTCCTCTTCCTAGCGATTCTGTGCAGCCTTTATATAGACCACACCTGGGAGAAGAAACATCAAAGCTCCTCTGAAGGCAAGGCAAACTCAACATGAAATGGTTGGGAACAGATTGATATACACAGCAAAGAAGATTCAAACATCTTCCTCCACAGACCACAAAACACCACGCTCTCTGCACAACTCCATTATACCCAGTAAAAGCCTCCCTCCAAGACTGGAGCATCAACAGGCTCATCAGGAGATACTAACATACTGCTGCCCTGAGCTATCCGGCACCTTCTGCGTGTGCAAACGCATGTGATTGCAGCCACACAGAGAAAGTGAGGTTAAGGAACAAAGTGATTTGCACTGAGGAGTCAACAACATATGAAGAGTGTTAACAGGTATTGTGTCTGTGCGCACCTGCCTGGATCGTCAGCACAGCACTCAAAAACAAACCTGAAATCTGGCTTTCACCGTCTATTTAAGTGCAGCCTGCACCTATGTTCACTTCTAGGGATAAGGGGGTGATAGTACTACTCACTGCATCTGCCCTGAGCAAGATTTAGAAACATCATTTCTCATCTACCCTGCCTGTCAAAATGCAGAAACTGTGCCCCACCCAGACAAACACAACCATAGAAATCCAGTCTCTCACCAGAGCATCTTGCAGAAGTGACCTAGGCAGAAATTCCATCTTCATGCTGAATCTGACAAAGCAGCTGGAAGGCAGAGGGGTTGGGGTGGGGGGGAGCTGCGGGAGGAAGTTTGACAATCTAATCCTGCCAACACTGCCTTCATCATTAACGTAACAGCACCTCTCAGTGCACTGAGGTTCATTTACTAAAGCTTTTTCCTTACAGTACGTGGAGTTTCTTATCTTCCCATTCCTCCTGTGAATGGCATCAGACACTCCCAGGACCACCCACCCCCACCTCCCCAAAAAAATCTTGATCTGGAGATGTCACCCTCAAGGAAGGTACCTTCCAGGGTAGCTGGATGAATGGTAGGCAGCTAATGAATCCCACTGGGGGTGAAGAAATGAGTGGGGAGGAAGAAAAGGCAGAGCAGCCCTGGTAAATACCTGCTCCATTTTACATTTGTCTTTTAGACACCTCGTGAAAATGGTCTGCTTCCTGTGCAGAAATTGTAATTATTTGGGGAAGAAA